TTCCACGTAACCTACAAAGAGGCAGGCGTAGCTTGGGCCCATGCGGGATTGTTTTCTTTAGAGCACAGAAGACTGAGGGGGGAGCATGATTGAGGTGTATAAGATTATGAGGGTACAGTCAGGGTGAATAGAGAGCAGCTGTTCTCCTTGGTTGAGGGGTCAATCACAAGAGGGAATGGATTTAGGGTAAGGGGCTGGAGATTCAGAAGGGATTTGTGAATAAACGTTTTCAATCAATGGGAGGTGGGAATCTAGAATGCACTGTCTCGGAAGGCAGTGGAAGTCAGAAACCTTACAACTTCTAAAAAGTATTTGATGAGTACTTCAAAATCATAACATTCAAAGATATGGGACAATTGCAGGAGATTAGGATTAGCGCACATTTAGTGGTGGTTATGTCAGTGCAGACTCGATGAGCCTTCTCTGCACTGTATGAATCTATGAATGACTCTACGAATTTATAAGCAGCATGAATGGTGGAGTCAGTTCCCACAGAACCAGGGTTTTAGTTTAGCTTTCAGCAGTTGTTGGTGTTTTGAAGTTGGTTGTGGAAGCTGCCATACCTCTCTCCCTACTGGAGTTTTCTCTTAGTGTTCTTTCCTCCTGGACTGGAGAAACATTGCATGTGAGACAATCTATTTGACCGGGATTTTACTATATTGGAATAGTTGCTGTCTAGCAATTAAATAATCTATTATTCTGTTAAGTGTTCCAATAGAGTTAAAGTTATAATAATTCTTCTTTATTCATATTTCAACTCTAGTGTAAGAATAAAGAGTGTTCCGCTTAAAGCTGAGTAGCATGACCAATTGAATTACATCTGGAATACAGCACCTTAAACTTGCCTTTAAATAAGATAAATGTTAGGATCTAGGCTGTCTCCTTGATATGTTTGAAGGAGGTTTTGTCTGATCCATAACAATGCCAAAATGCAACACCTTGCATTTATTCACATTAAATGCCATCTGCCATTCCTCGTCCCACTGGCCCGGTTGATCAAGATCCCACTGTAGATAACCTTCTTCACTGTCCACTGTATCACCAATTTTGCTGTCATTGCAAACTTCCTAACCATGCCTCCTATATTCACATCCAAATCGTTGATATAACTGATGAACAACAGTGGGCTCAGCACCAATCCTTGAGGCACACTGCTGGTCACAGGCCTCCAGTCTGAACAACAACCCTCTACCACCACCCTCTGTCTCCTACTGTCAAGCCAATTTTGGATTTAATTGGCTAGCTCTCCCTGAATCCCATGTGATCTAACCTTACTAATGAGTCTACCAAGCGAAACCTTGTTGAAGGCCTTGCTAAAGTCATGTAGACAACGTCTACCGCTCTGCCTTCATCTATCTTTTTGGTAACTTCTTCAAAAAATTCAATCAAGTTTGTGACACACGATTTCCCAAACACAAAGCCATGCTGACTATCCCTGATCAGTACTTGCCATTTCAAATGCATGTAGATCCTGTCTCTCAGAATCCCCTCCAACAACTTACTCATTGGTGAAGTTAGGCTCAGCAGTCTATAGTTCCCTGGCTTTTCCTTGCAGCCTTTCTTAAATAATGGCACAACATTAGCCACTCTCCAGTCTTCCAGCACCTCACCCTACAGCGTGGAAACATGCCATCCGGCCCAACAAGCCCACACTGACTCTCTGAAGAGCATCCCACCCAGACTTACCACCCCCCCATCTCTATCCCTGTAACCCTGCATTTCTCGTGGCTAATCTACCTCACCTACACATCCTGGACACCATGGGCAATTTAGCAGGGCCAATCCACCTAACCAGCACATCTTTTGACTGTGGTAGGAAACTCGAGCATCCGGAAAAAACCCACACTGACACGGAGAGAACGTGCAAGCTCCACATAGACAGTCACCCAAGGCTGGAATTGAACCCGGGTCCCTGGCTCTGTGAGGCAGCAGTGCTAACTGCTGCACCATCTTGCTGTCCCAATACGGTTAATAGCAAGACCTTAGGAGTACTGACGTACAGACAGATCTCATGACCTCAGCCAGTACAGGAATTGAACCTGCACTGTTGGTGTCACTCTGCATTGGGAGTCAGACGTCTAGCCAATTGAGCTCTTTGGAGAGTCAGTGTGGACTTGTTAGGCTGAATGGCCTGTTTCCATACTGTATGATATTCTATGACTATCAATGATACAAATATCTCAGCAAAGGGCCCAGTAATCGCTTCCCTAGCTTCCCACAAAGTTTTGGGATACACTTGATCATCTCCCAGAGATTTATCTACCTTTATGCATTTTAAGACGTTTAGCACCTCCCTTCTGTAATGTGGACTCTTTTCAAGGCATCACTATTTATCTCCCCGAGTTCTCCAGGTTCCATATCTTTCTCCATTTATTACGGTCTCGGTCTCTTTGATATTATGGTGTTACAAAAAGACCTCAGAACAAGATTATTATTTAACCCTGAGATAACAAGGTGTAGAGCTGGATGAACACAGCAGGCCAAGCAGCATCAGAGGAGCAGGAAGGCTGACATTTCGGGCCTAGACCCTTCTTCAGAAATGGGGGAGGGGAAGGGGGTTCTGAAATTAACCCTTTCTCGTTGCACAAAATTTAATGTCAGCTAGCCTGTTCCTTAGTTGGACTAGACTAAAAAAAATTGGACAAACTCCAGGAATTCATTCACCACAGTATTCTTGCTAATATGGTTTGTCCAGTCTATGTAGACTGAAGTCACCCATGATTACTGTAGGACTCTCTTTGCATGTACCTCTAATCAGCTTTAACTCTCTACCTTACCACTATCTTGACCAATTGGACCAATTGAAGAGTAGCAGGTGGAGTTTAATTTGGATAAATGCAAGGTATTGCATTTTGGCAAAACAAACAAAGGTACAGCAGCTCAGTGCGGGGTGGCACGGTGGCTCAGTGGTTAGCACTGCTGCCTCATAGTGCCGGGGGTCCAGGTTCGATTCCACCCTCAGGTGACTGTCTGCGTGGGCTTCCTCCAGATGTTCCGGTTTCCTCCCACTGTCCAAAGATGTGCAGGCTAGAAGTGGATTGGCCATGCTAAATTACCTGTAATGTTCAGGGATGTATAGTTTAGGTGGGTTAAAGGGTATGAGTCTGGGTGGGATGCTCCAAGGGTCAGTGTGGACTTGTTGGGCCAAAGAGCCTGTTTCCACACTGTAGGGATTCTATGATCTATGAAAACTTACAAATTAAAAGTAAGGTCTTGGGTAGTATTGTAGAACAGAGTGACCTAAGTGTTGAGGTATATAATTTCTTTGAAGTTTTTATTACTAATAGATAGCGTGGTTGAGAAGGCATTTAGCTTGCCTTTATTGCTTAGACCTTTTGAGTATAGGAGTTGGGATGTTATGTTGAGTTTGTACAAGACATTAGTGAGGCCTGTTCTGGAGTAGTGTCCACTTCTGATCTCGTTGTTATAGGGATGATATTATTAAGCTGGAGAGGGTACTAAAGGGATTTAGCAGGATGAGGCCGGGAATGGCGGGTTTGAGTTATAAAGAGAGGCTGGACAGGCTGGGGGGATGAAGGGTCTAGGCCCGAAACATCAGCCTCTCTGCTCCTATGATGCTGCTTGGCCTGCTGTGTTCATCCAGCCCTGCACCTTGTTGTCCTGGACAGGCTGGAACCTTTTTCACTCGTGTGTAGGTGGTTGAGAAGTGACATTATAGACGTTCATAAAATAGTGAGTGTGTGGATAAGATGAATTGCGGATGTCTTTTCCCTGGGTGGCGGATTTCAAGACTAGAGGGCATATTTTTAAGGTGAGAGGAGAAAGGTTTAAACAAGACATGAGAGGCAATTTTTTTACATAGGGAGTGGTTTGTGTGTGAAATGATCTTCCAAAGGAAGTGGTGGATGCAGATACAGTCACAAAGTTTAAAAGACATTTAGGTATGTCCAAGAATAAGAAATGTTTGGAGCTATATGGACCAAGTGCAGGCAAGTGGGACAAGTTTAGTTTGGGATTATAGTTGGCATGGACTGGTTGGACCAAAGGGCCTGTTTCTGTGCTGTATGATTCTATGACTCTACTGTCGGAAAATCCTGGTTTAGTTTGAGGAATATTAATCAGCACACCATGTGAAATGCCCAAAAATGTAGATACTGGGTGTGAATAGCTCTGCTGCTCCCCATGTCTTGTGGTGCTTAGCTTGTTACTTGCCCGGTTTTAAATGAAACAACTTGTGTAAAGGCAAATTGCAGCCTCCAAAGAGTAATAATATTTATGCTACTCACCTTTCTGCAATCTACTTTTAGATTTTGATTTATGTTGCAGGGAACATACAGATTTAAGAATGGAGCACGTTATGTAGGTGAATATCTGCAGAACAAGAAACATGGCCAGGGAACCTTCTATTATCCGGATGGCTCCAAATACGAAGGTGAGATTTTGCCATCCAGTCTTCTGTTATTATACAGTGTGTAATAAAGAGACCTTGCTCATGCCATCAAAGCACAGGACACAAACTGTGCTGTACTTTGATTAGCTGACACCTTGGCAATTGAGATAACAAGGTGTAGAGCTGGATGAACACAGCAGGCCAAGCAGCTTCAGAGGAGCAGGAAAGCTGACGTTTCGGGTCTAGACCCTTCTTCAGAAATGGGGGAGGGCAAGGGGATTCTGAAATAAATAGGGAGAGAGGGGGAGGCGGATAGATGATGGATAAAGGAGAAGATAGGTGGAGAGGAGACAGACAGGTCAAAGAGGCGGGGGCGGAGCCAGTAAAGATGAGTGTAGGTGGGGAGTTAGGGAGGGGATAGGTCAGTCCAGGGAGGATGGATTGGTCAAGGGGGCGGGATGAGGCTAGTAGGTAGGAGATGGGGGTGGAGCTTGAGGTGGAAGGAGGGGATAAGTGGGAGGAAGGACAGGTTAGTGGGGTGGGGACAAGCTGGGCTGGTTTTGGGATGCGGCTGGGGGAGGCGAGATTTTGAAGCTTGCGAAGTCCACATTGATACCATTGGGCTGCAGGGTTCCCAAGCGAAATATAAGGTGCTGTTCCTGCAACCTTCGGGTGGCATCGTTGTGGCACTGCAGGAGGCCCAGGATGGAAATGTCGTCTAAGGAGTGGGAGGGGAAGTTGAAATGGTTTGGGACTGGGAGGTGCAGTTGTTTGTTGCGAACTAAGCGTAGGTGTTCCGCAAAGCGGTCCCCAAGCCTCCACTTGGTTTCCCCGATGTAGAGGAGGCCACATCTGGAACAGCGGATACAGTATACCACATTAGCAGATGTGCAGGTGAACGTCTGCTTGATGTGGAAGGTCTTCTTGGGGCCTGGGATGGGGGTGAGGCGGGAGGTGTAGGGGCAGGTGTAGCACTTCCTGCGGTTGCAGGGAAAAGTGCCGGGTGTGGTGGAGCTGGAGGGGAGTGTGGAGTGGACAAGGGAGTCACAGAGAGAGTTGTCCCTCCGGAAAGCAGATAAGGGTGGGGAGAGAAAAATGTCTTTGGTGGTGGGGTCGGATTGCAGATGGCGGAAGTGTCGGAGGATGATGCGTTGGATTCGGAGGTTGGTGGGGTGGTATGTGAGGACGAGGGGGATTCTTTTTTGGTTGTTATCGCGGGGAGGGGGTGTGAGGGATGAGTTGTGGGAAATGTGGGAGACACGGTCGAGGGCGTTCTCGACCACTGAGGGGGGGAAGTTGCAGTCCTTGAAAAACGAGGACATCTGAGATGTTCGGGCGTGGAATGCCTCATCCTGGGAGCAGATGCGGTGGAGGCGGAGGAATTGGGAATAGGGGATGGCATTTTTGCAGGAAGGTGGGTGGAGGAGGTGTATTCTAGGTAGCTGTGAGAGTCGGTAGGCTTGAAATGGATATCGGTTTCCAGGTGGTTGCCAGAGATGGAAACAGAGGGGTCCAGGAAGAAGAGAGAGGTATCAGAGATGGTCCAGGTGAACTTAAGGTTGGGGTGGAAGGTGTTGGTGAAGTGGATGAACTGTTCAAGCTCCTCGTGGGAGCACGAGGCGGCTCTGATACAGTCATCGATGTAATGGAGGAAGGGGTGGGTTTAGGGCCAGTGTATGTACGGAAGAGGGATTGTTCCACGTAACCTGCAAAGAGGCAGGCATAGCTTGGGCCCATGCGGATACCCATGGCCACCCCCTTTGTCTGTAGGAAGTGGGAGGAATTGAAACAGAAGTTGTTAAGGGTGAGGACAAGTTCAGCTAAGTGGATGAGGGTGTCACTGGAGGGGGACTGGTCGGGCCTGTGGGACAGGAAGAAGCGGAGGGCCTTTAGGCCATCTGCATGGGGAATGCAAGTGTTTAGGGACTGGACGTCCATGGTAGAGATGAGGTGTTGGGGACCAGGGAATCGAAAGTCTTGGAGCAGGTGGAGGGCATGGGTGGTGTCACGGACGTAGGTGGGGAGTTACTGGACCAAGGGGGAGAAAATGGAGTTGAGATAAGTAGAGATAAGTTCGGTGGGGCAGGAGCAGGCGGAGACAATGGGTCGACCAGGGCAGTCAGGTTTGTAGATTTTGGGAAGGAGATAGAAATGGATGATGCGGGGTTGGGGAATGATGAGGTTGGAGGCTGTGGGTGGGAGGTCACCTGAAGTGATGAGGTTGTGGATGGTTTGGGAGATGATGTTTTGGTGGTCAGGGGTGGGGTCATGATCAAGGGGGCAGTAGGAGGAGGTGTCAGAGAGCTGGCGTCTGGCCTCGGCGATGTAGAGGTCAGTGTGCCATACTACAACTGCGCCTCCCTTGTCCGCGGGTTTTATGGTGAGGTTGGGATTGGAGCGGAGGGCTGCACGTTCTGTGGGGGAGAGGTTGGAGTGGGTGAGAAAGGTGGAGAGGTTGAGGCAATTGATGTCTCAACGGCAGTTGGAGATGAAGAGATCAAGGGAGGGTAGGAGGCCTTGAGGTGGTGTCCAGGAGGAGGGGGTATGTTGGAGGCGGGTGAAGGGTTAGGCTCACGATTAAAGAAGTAAGCGCAGAGGCAGCGGAAAAACTGCTCAATGTCCAAAAGTGACCGGTATTCGTTGATGTGTGGGTGGAGGGGGACAAAGGTGAGCCCTTTACTGAGGACTGATCGTTCGTCCTCAGTAAGGGGGAGATCTGGGGGGGATGGTGAAGACCCAGCAGGGCTGGGTGCTATTGTCTCCTCTGGAGCTGCTGGCTGTGGAGGTGTTGGGCGGAGCGACGTCGGCGTCGGTGGTGGGCGGAGCGACGTCGGCAGTGGGCGCAGCAACGTCGGCGGTGGGCGGAGCAGTGTCGGCGGTGGGCCGTGCAGTTTCGGCGGTGGGCAGTGTGGCATTGGTGGTGGGTGGAGCGACGTCGGCGTTGGTGGTGGGCGGAGTGATGTTGGCATCGGCAGTGGGCGGAGCGACGTTGGCGGTGGGAGGAGCTGAGTCGGTCGGTAAGTCCTGGATCTTGGTTGTGGCGGCAGTAGTGGTGTCAGCAGGTGCGTCTTTGATGTCTGTGGTCTCGGAATCGAAGGCGGTGGCATCAGCAGTGGTGTCGATGGCATTTGCTGTCCCGGAAGTGGTGTACCCGGCGGCGGCAGATGTGACATCATCCGTGGGTGCTCCGAAAGTGGCCACATGGCCAATGGCGGCGGGCACATTGTGGGGAAGGTCCTGGGTAGGGTTGGGGATTTGGGGGGGTGGAGGAGGCCTGTGTTGGGTGGCAGGCACTAGTAAGTTTAGTGTACTTACGGTTTTTAGTGTCCAATAAAGCCAAGTAGAATTGTGAGTTCAGGTTGTGGATCCTGCGAAGAATGTAAAACAGGAGAGGTCCTTTGCAGGTCTGGGAGAGGGAGGCTCTGAGCTGGGGTAGGCTTGATTGTAGTGCCAGGAGGTGCTGGCGCATTGTTGCGAGTGTGTGTTTGAGGTGTCGCAGGGAGAAACGTTTTTGAAGGATCTCAATGTTCTGAATGTAGCGGCTGTTGCGGTTGGGGCCAAATTGCGAAGGCCTAAATGTAGACTGAAGTCCATTGGGGATGATCCAGTTCCGTAGGCAGGTACTAAAAAAGGCAATGTGGCTGTCGTACCTGGTTTGCTTCAGGACGTGGTCAAGCAGTTTCAGGGCCAAAGAGATTACGAGAGAGTTGCAGTGGGAGAGAGATCCACTGAGGTCTTTCCGGAGGGAGGAAGGTAACTTCTTCAAGGAAGGCATCCTTAGAAAAGGCTTCACACTGGGGTTAAAATTGTTTCAGAGATAGTAGGAACTGCAGATGCTGGAGAATCTGAGATAACAAGGTGTAGAGCTGGATGAACACAGCAGGCCAAGCAGCATCAGAGGAGCAGAAAAGCTGACATTTCGGGCCTAGACCCTTCTTCAGAAATGGGGGAGGGCAAGGGGATTCTGAAATAAATAAGGAGAGAGGGGAGGCGGATAGAAGATGGATAGAGGAGAAGATAGGTGGAGAGGAGACAGACAGGTCAAAGAGGTGGGGATGGAGCCAGTAAAGGTGAGTGTAGGTGTGGAGTTAGGGAGAGGATAGGTCAGGATAGGCAATTGAGTTGTGTATTCCCATGCAAACCAATACCATGAGTTCAGATCTTAGCCAATCATAAAAATACTTTCTTTGTGTCTACTAACTGTGATGGTGAGAAACTGCAAGAGACCTTGCAGCTTGAGGTAGAACAGTGTGTTGGCTCAGGCACCAATGACATTCCAAACAGGTCTGGCAGTATCTGTGAAGAGAAAATCAGAGTTAATGTTTCGGGTCTGGTGACACTCCTTCAGGAAGAGTCACTGTACACGGAACGTTAACTCTGATTTTTTCTTCACAGATGCTGCCAGACGTGCTAAGCTTTCAGCAACTTCTGTTTTTGTTCCTGATTTACAGCATCTGCAGTTCTTTCGGTTTTTAATAACACTCCAAATCTAGGAGCCAGTCAGTGACAAGTGACAGAGATGCTCTATCAAGGGCTCAGTCAATCACACTGTGACAGGACTATATGACTGGGGAGTTAGTCAGTCACTCATACAATCTGCTGTCCTGAAATACCTCCTGGTTAGCCACCAACTCTGTTCTATGTCTCACGCAGGAAGTTGGGCACATGATCAGCGACATGGAGAAGGAACTTATCATTATCCAAACGGTGATACATATACTGGAGAATGGCTTGCTCATCAAAGGTACAACATAGGACTAATGTTGAGTGTAATAGCAGCCTTGTGCTCATTGTGGGGGTGGGGATGGGAGGGCTGTTAAAGTTTAGCATTGTAACCTATTAAGTTTACCAAATTCTGAGTTGATGATGTTGACATAATGTGGGATAACATCAGCAGTTAGAATTCCTTTGAAGTTCAGGCGAATTTATCTCACTGTAATAATATAACCACATCAAGTTGCTGTACTTGTCCGTCCAGATTGAGGCAGTTTACCCTCGAACACAGTCAGATCAATTACAATTCCAATATGATCAATTTGCAGCTTTATAGAACATAGAACATAGAACATATACTAGTACAGCACAGTACAGGCCCTTCGGCCCACGATGTAGTGCCGACCTATTATCCTGCTAAGATCAATCTACCCTGCATACCCTACATTTTACTGTCCTCCATGTGCCTATCCAAGAGTCACTTAAAAGTTTCTGAAGTATCTGACTCCACTACCACTGCCGGCAGCGCATTCCACACACCCACCACTCTCTGTGTGAAGAACGTACCTTTGACATCTCCCCTATACCTTCCTCCAATCACCTTAAAATTATGCCCCCTTGTAATAGTCATTTCCGCCCTGGGAAAAAGTCTCTGACTATCCACTCTATCTATGCCTCTCATCATCTTGTAAACCTCTATCAAGTCATCTCTCATCCTTCTTCGCTCCAATGAAAAAAGCCCTAGTTCCCTCAACCTTTCCTCCTAAGACCTGCCCTCCAGTCCAGGCAGCATCCTGGTAAAGGGGTAGTAGGAACTGCAGATGCTGGAGAATCTGAGATATACAAGGTGCAGAACTGGATGAACACAGCAGGCCAAGCAGCATCCTGCTCCTCTGATGCTGCTTGGCCTGCTGTGTTCATCCAGCTCTACACCTTGTATATCTCAGCATCCTGGTAAATCTCCTCGGCACCCTCTCTAAAGCTTCCACATCTTTCCTATAATGAGGTGACCAGAACTGAACACAATATTCCAAGTGTGGTCTAACCAGAGTTTTATAGAGCTGCAGCATAACCTCACGGCTCTTAAACTCAATTCCCCTGCCAATGAAAGCCAACACACCATACGCCTTCCTTACAACTCTATCAACTTGGGTCGCAACTTTGAGGGATCTATGGACGTGGACGCCAAGATCCCTCTGTTCCTCCACACTGCCAAGAATCCTCCCATTAACCTTGTATTCTGCATTCAAATTCGTCCTTCCAAAATGAATCACTTCACATGTTTCTGGGTTGAATTCCATCTGCCACTTCTTTGCCCAGCTCTGCATCCTGTCAATGTCCCGTTGCAACCTACCATAGCCCTCCACGCTGTCCACAACTCCACCTACCTTCGTGTCATCGGCAAACTTACTAACCCACCCTTCCATTTCCTCATCCAAGTCATTTATAAAGATCACAAAGAGCGGAGGTCCCAGAACAGATCCCTGCAGAACACCACTGGTCTCCGAGCTCCAGGCTGAATACTTTCCATCTACTATCACCCTTTGTCTTCTATTGAACAGGCAGTTTTATATCCAGACAGCCAAATTTCCCTGAATCCCATGCCTCCTTACTTTCTGAATGAGCCTACCATGTGGAACCTTATCGAATACCTTGCTAAAATCCATATACACCAAATCCACTGCTTTACCTTCATCGATGTGTTTTGTCACATCCTCAAAGAATTCAATAAGGCTTGTGAGGCATGACCTGCCCCTAACAAAGCCATGCTGACTATTTCTAATCAAACTGTGCTTTTCCAAATAATCATTAATACTATCTCTTAGAATCCTCTCCAATAATTTGCCCACCGCAGAAGTAAGACTGACCAGTCTGTCATTTCTGGGTTTATCCCTATTCCCTTCCTTGAACAAGGGAATGACATTTGCCACCCTCCAATCTTCTGGTACTACTCCAGTGGACAGTGAGGATGCAAAGATCATTGCCAAAGGTGCAGCAGTCTCTTCCCTCGCTTCCCGTAGAAACCTTGGGTATATCCCGTCTGGCCCAGGGGACTTATCTATTCTCATGTTTTTCAAAATTTCTAGCACATCCTCCTTCCGAACATCAACCTGTTTGAGCATATCTGCCTGTTTCATGCTGTCCTCACCAACGTCAAGGTCCCTCTCACTGGTGAATACTGAAGCAAAGTATTCATTAAGGACCTCCCCTACCTCCTCTGACTCCACACACAAGTTCCTTCCACTATCCCTGATTGGCCCTACCCTCATTCTGGCCATCCTCTTGTTCCTCACATAAGTATAGAACGCCTTGGGGATTTCCTTGATCCTACCCACCAAGGTTTTCTCATATCCCCTTCTAGCTCTCCTAAGTCCATTCTTCAGTTCCTTTCTGGCTACCTTGTAGACCTCTAGAGCCCTGTCCCATCCTTGCTTCCTCAACCTTAAGTAAGCTTCCTTCTTCCTCTTGACTAGGTGTTCCACATGTCTTGTCATCCAAGGTTCCTTCACCTAACCATCCTTTCCTTTCCTCAGTGGGACAAACCTGACCAGTACCTGAAGCAACTGCTCCCTAAACAACCTCCACTTTTCTGTCATGCATTTCCCTGAGAACATCTGATCCCAATTGGTGCTCCGTAGTTCTTGCCTAATAGCATTGTAATTCACCCTCCCTCAATTAAGTATTTTCCCATACCGTCTGTTCCTATCCCTCTCCATGACTATAGTAATGGTCAGGGAGTTGTGATCACTATCACTGAAATGCTCTCCCACCGAGAGATCTGACACCTGACTTGGTTCATTGCCAAGCACCAACTCCAATATGGGCTCCCTGTAGTCGGCCTATCTACATATTGAGTCAGAAATCCTTCCTGGACACATCTGACAAAATCTGCTCCATCCAAACTATTTGCACTTAGGAGGTTCCTGTCTGTGTTAGGGAAGTTGAAGTTGCCCATGACAACAACCCTATTACATCTATACCTTTCAAAAATCTGTCTCCCAATCTGTTCCTCAGTGTCTCTGTTGCTGTTGGGGGGTCTATAGAAAACTTGCAATAAAGTGACTGCTCCTTTCCAGTTTCTGACTTCCATCCATACTGACTCAGTGGAGAAACCCTCCTCCAAGACCTCCCTTTCTATAGCTGTGATACCATCCCTGATTAGCAATGCCACTCCCCCACCTCTTTTACCTCCCTCCCTATTTCTTTTGAAACATCTATATCCTGGAACATCCAACAACCATTCCTGCCCCTGTGTTATCCAAGTCGCTGTAATGGCCACAACATTGTAGTTCCAAGTACTGGTCGATGCTCTAAGTTCATCACCCTTATTCCTGACACTTCTTGCATTGAAGTAGGCAAACCTCAACCCATCACACTGACTGCCACTTTGCCCTATTGACTGCTTATCCTTCCTCATAGATTCTCTGCTTGCTCTATCTGTCTGTACATTGGCTACCCCATATTCTGATCTTAGCTCCAGTTGCCATCCACCTGCCAAACTAGTTTAACCCCTCCGAAGAGCTCTAGCAAACCTCCTGCCCAGGATATTTGTGCCCCTCCAGTTCAGGTGCAACCCGTCCTTCCTGTACAGGTCCCATCTTCCCCAGAAGATATCCCAACGTTCCACAAACCTGAAGCCCTCCTTCCTACACCAGCTCTGTAGCCACGTGTTCAGCTGCGCTCTCTATTTGTTTCTAGCCTCACTAGCCCATGGCACCGGTAGTAATCCTGAGATTACTACTCTACTCGTCCTGATTTTCAGCTTCCATCCTAACTCCCTATAATCACTTTTCAGGTCCTCATCCCGTTTCCTAGCTGTGTCATTGGTACCAACGTGTACCACGACTTCTGGCTGCTCTCCCTCCCCTTAAGAATCCTGAAGACTCAATCCAAGACATCCCTGACCCTGGCACCGAGAGGCAACATGCCATCCGGGAGTCTCACTCGGTACCACAGAATCTCCTGGCTGTTCCCCTAACCAGTGAATCTCCTTTCACTATCGCTGTCCTATTCTCTGCCCTTCCCTTCTGAGCCACAGAGCCAGGCTCAGTGCCAGAGACCTGGCCGCTATGGCTTTCCCCTGGTAGATCGTCCCCCTCAACAGTATCCAAAACGGTATACTTATTATTGAGGGGAACGGCCACAGGGGATCCCTGCACTGTCTGCCTATTCCCTTTCCCCCTCCTGACAGTCACCCAGCTACCTTTTTCCTGTACCTTGGGTGTGACCACCTCCTTATAACTCCTCTCTATCACACCCTCAGCCTCCCGAATGACTCGGAGTTCATCCAGCTCCAGCTCCAGTTCCCTAACGCGGTTTGTGAGGAGCTGGAGTTGGGTGCACTTCTCGCAGGTGAAGTCAGAAGGGATACTAGTAGTGACCCTTACCTCCACATCCTACAAGAGGAGCATGCAACTGCCGTAGCTTCCATTCCCTCTACTCTAGACTGCCAAAAGAGTAAAGAAAAAGAAAAAACCTTACCTTACCGACCCTCCACACAGACTTCTTTTTTGTTAGAGGAGGAGGATGGCTGGGAGACACTACACGTGTAGTGTTTCGGGTTTAGCCAATGCCCGAATATAAAAGTTCACTTCTCGGCTCGCTCTCTCACCACTCCTGCTGCTCGAATCAAGTAGGCCGCTGACTCACGAGATAAGTTTTTATAAGCAAAAGCCTTCCATTCCTGGCTGCCCCCGACTCGCACTCTCTCCACTCGAATCAAGTAGCATGAAATGCAAGAGGTCAGTTTCTTAAGGAGAAAGGTTAGCTGGTAGGATGGAATATGAAAGCTTATTCTTTCTTACCTCATCTTCACTCTGTGATGAAAGCCCTTGCTTTCTGCTGGGTTAGGTACATCATAGGAATGAGCTACCCTCAGGCATTTTAGTCAAAGTCCAAGGTTAAGATGTGGTCTCAGACTACAAGTTTACACCATGAGAACCATCACCATGGAGACCAATCTTGCTCTCATTCTCTGACCAAATGGAGTCTTGAGGTGGTGATAACTATTGTAAAACCCTTTGACAGTCTTTTCCCAACTCAGGGAACACTGACTCTACACGCTATTCAGCACAAGATACGGACTGAGTCTGGAAGCCTGTACCCTGAATGAACAGCTACTCACTGGATAATCTTTCTGGGTCACTCAGGTGGCTATTTTGCTGTTTTTATTAAATAAAAGTTGATAATTGATAAAGTTCTCAATGGTCCATTGGATAAGTAGCATAGTTGTGAATGGTTAAGTCACGAAGGATTTGCTTGTTTTGAAAGTATTGTTATGATCCAAGCTGATTAGGCTCCAAATCAGATACTGGACAGGCTAGATCCCAGAATGAAATCTCCCTTGATAGATTATTTTTACCATGTTGGTCTTTCACTGAAATAAGCAAAACGGCAGATTTAGTTTCATCAATATAACCGAAGTTTATTACATACAAAAGAACTAAAAATAAACAAATCAAATCAAGCTATCTAAATAAATAGTTTTAAAAATGTCAAAATGCATTGCAAAACAAAACCGCATCTAATCTCAACACCATTACTTTGCAATAACACAAAACTAGAGAAATTCATTCCTGATCAAATCTATAAGTTTGACTTTACTGCTTCTTCTCAGTTCTGGTCTTGCAAGCTATGAAGTTTTCTTAGTTGAATCCTCACACAATTTTCTCAGTCCATTAATAACTTGCAGGGTTCTAAACAAGGTTGACAAACATCACACTCTACCGAAGTAACACATTCCCTTAACTGTTCTGAACAGTCTCCTTTCTCTTGGACAGACTATATTTGCTTCTGACTCCAGTTGGGACCTCTTTCAACTGCCTAAAAGCTTTTGAATTAATTTTATTTTAAAAAGTGACTGTTCAATAGAGCTGCTGCTAAATCAATAACTTAATATTTTCTCTTCCTGATTGTAAGCCCCCACAGTATAAACAACCTCCCATTAACATTCCAGGAGGCACATTGTGGTTTAAAATCATGGCTCAAGAAAGACTAACCGAGTTAATTTTCCAAAAGTGCTCACAAAAATAGACCAACATCCATATACCACTCATTTGAAATCCAAGAGAGTGATGTGTATTTCAATCATACACGTTTCACCTGGGTCTCTGTTGTTTATTGCTTTCCTTTACTAGGCATGGTCTGGGAACCTACGTGTATGCGCAGACAGGCTCCAAATATGTGGGAACCTGGGTTCACGGAAAGCAGGTCGAAGCTGGAGAGCTCATTCACCTGAACCACCGATACCAGGGCAACTTTCTCAATAACAATGTAAGTGTTGTTTTGTGGCAGGAATCACAACAGTGTCTCTCACCTCACCACAATCATCTCTTGGATCACTGTGCTTCCTCACTCCATACATGTTGTGGAGGTGCCGGTCTTGGACTGCGGTGGACAAAGTCAGAAGTCACACGACACCAGGTTATAGTCCAACTTCTTTGCACTTCGAAAGCTTGTGATTTCAAATAAAGCTGTTGAACTATAACCTGGTATCATGTGACTTCTGACTTTGTCCGCTCCATACAGTCATCGAGCTTTGTGCAAGATAATTTTACTTTTAATTCAGGGATGGGTCAGCATTTAATTGTCCTTGAGAAGGTGGTGGTGAGCTAGCTTCCTAAACTGCTGGTGTTGGTGCATCAGCAGAACTGTTAAGGAAGGGGTTGTAGGATTGTGATCCAGTGTTAGTGAAGGAACATTGATTTTTTTCCAAGTCAGGATGTTGTGTGGTTTCAAGTAGAACTTGTGTGCGGTGATGTTCCCATTCATTGGTTGCCCTTGTCTTTCTTGGTGGGTTTGGAAGTTGCTGTCTAAGAAGCCTTCCTTGGTCACTTACTGCAATTCATCTTGTAAATGGTACAAACTGCTAATAATGGGCATTATTGAAGGGAGTGAATGTTACTGAAAATATATAGAAATACTTCAAGAATTATGAGAACTGGAGTATGGAACTATGGACATTCTGGTTTAAAAAGGGTTTACCAAGGTTTTGAAGGACCATATGAAGGAATTTTTCAACAGTAATATGGGCTGTGGCTCATCTGGTTATTACTGAAGAGACCAGCAATGCTTTCAAGAGAGATAAGAAATGAATTTTATTGCTTTCATTGCTGGACAAACATTGTTTGGAATAGATGGGACCAATGTCCTGAAGATTGCCTAGCAGCATTCTTCTGGATTTGGTTTCTTGTTTTCCTGGACAACTGAGTGCATTAAGCAGTGAAAAGACAATGATCTTCCAAAATCTCTGTATCAAGAGGTTTCTCATGTAGGAACTGGCACGTCAATTCTCCCAATTTTCCTGCCTTCTCCCCATAACCTTTGATCCCCTTAATAAATAAGAAGCTATCTATCTCTTTCTTAAATACACTCAGTGACTTGGCCTTCATAGCTCTCTGTGGCAATGATTTCCACAGATTCACCACCCTGTGGCTGAAGAAATTCCCCCTCATTTCTGTTCTAAAGGATCATCTCCTCACTCTGAGGCTGTGCACTCGGGTCCTAGTCCCTCTTATTGTGGAATCATCTTTTCCACATCCACTCTATCCAGGCCTCTCAGTATTCTCTAAGTTTCAAATGAGGTCCTCTCATCCTTCTAAACTTCAAGTACAGATCCAGAATCCAAAACTGCTGACGATATTCCAAAAGTGGTAGAGAACTGGATCAATTGTGGAAACTTCGAATAAGATTTATTTTGCTTCATTTCTACAGCCTACAGGTCGAGGGAAATACATCTTTGACTTTGGCTGTGAGCAGCATGGAGAATACCTTCAGACAGAACAGGTAATTACTATGGGAGACAGGGAGCCGACAGAATTGCATGGTAAGCTGAGTATTAATGGTTGGCACTCATCGGCGACTGCATCCTGAATGTGAGGGTTGTGGTCACTTAGTTTCTCAAGGACCTGTTCATGAGGATCCGTTTGCAGGATATTAGGAAAATCTTAATATTATTGAAACTTATGGCACAGAAAATGGCAATTCTGCCTTAGGGCCTGTGTTGGTTCTTTGAAAGAGTTCAGGTTCCCCTCCCAGCTGTTTGTCCCTAGTCATGTTAGTTCCTCATCCTCTAATAGCTCTCCAACTGCCTTATGGAATTTATGGGATCAGCCTCTAACAGCTTTTCAGGTCCATGCCCCAAATCTAACAATTCTTTGAGTTAGCACATCCAATTTTTTGAATTGAGAGCCAATGGCATAGTGGTATTGTTGCTAGACCACTAATCTGGAGACCCAGGAAATGTTCCACCATGGCAGATGGTAGAATTTGAATTCAATAAAAATCTGGAATTAAGTCTAATGATAACCCTGAAACCATTGCCAATTGTCAGGAAAAGCCCATCTGGTTCACCAACATCCTTCAGGGAGAGAAATTGCCATCCATACCTGGTCTGGCCTAAATATGACTCCAGACCCACAACAATGTGGTTGACTCTTCACCTGATGGGCAATAAATACTTGCCCAGGCAGTGACAACCACAACCTGTGAATGAAGTAAAATGAAAAGAAAAATTATTTGACAGCAATATTCTCTCTCCTCTATAGATCCTTTTGCAATGATTTGAAATCCATGTCTTCTGGTTATTCCTAGAGGGAATGGATTGTCCATCTTGTTATGATCCCAGCTGATGGGAATACTGGACAAGTCAGAACTCTATTCCCTTTCAGAGGCTTTTACACTTTTGCTGAAGTGTGGTGTAAATTAACGTAATACACGAGCTGAGGTGTAACCTGTGATTCGTAAATTTCCAGTACAATCTCTTCACTTTCATATTCCATCCTTCTATTTACAAACACTGCTAACCCTTATACTGGTTTAATCACCTTACCCTTCCAGCTTTAAAGATTTGTGTTCATGGTAAAGGTCAGAAATGACATGACACCAGGTTATTTGTCCAACAGGTTTATTTGAAAACACAAGCTTTCAGAGCCACACTCCTTCTTCAGGTGTTAGAAGGAGCAAAACTCCGAAAGTTTGGGTTTTCAAATAAACCTTTTGGACCATAACTTGATTTCATGTGATTTCTGACCTTGTTCACCCTAGTCCAACTCCAGCACCTCCACATCATTTGTTCCTGGACACTAAGGTCTTTTAGCTCATCTGCATTTATAGTGCACTGTGCTTCATATTAGTCCTCAGCAAGGAAGTAACTTTGTTATACTCAAGAAAGCCAGTTAGTGAAGCATAGGCCCAAACCCAGTATTTAGTTTGTCTTAACAATTATTTACCGAGTGAAACACTACAGGCCATACATCTCTGAACTGTCCCCAGCTTTATTGAGTGTCTCTATAATTTTTTTTATGCAAGCAGGCAGCTAGGATGTGGGTTTTATGTCTCATTTGAAGGGTGGCATTCCCTCATTGCTACACTGGAGGGTCATCATTTTTGCACTAAAGCCTTAAAGTAGAATTTGAATCCAGACTTTGCAGCTGTTGAGTATGACTTTATGCTCCAGAAGAAACAAATGAACTTGTAAAGTAAAATAATTGAGGAACTATCCCTTAAAGGAATACTGTAACAAACAAAAAAACGCACATCACCCTGATTCAGTTTATAACCCCAAATGATCTTGAATCAGTTTAGATTTCATGTGACCATGAATCAGAGTCACGTTAAGTATAAACAGAATTGAGATCATGTGGGGTTATAAACTAAATCAGTCACATAATATATAAGCCAAATCAGGGTGATGTGTGGTATAACTCCACAGAGGCCTGTATTCCTTCACCAAGTCGCCCTTCATTTACATGTGCATAATACTTGACAGCCAGCTGTCAGAGCGAACAGAACCTGAAACACTCCCGTTTATATCTGTCAGCCAGGGCTCCCTGATTCGACCAGGTTAACAGCCCCAATCAGGGAACTCATATTCTGTGATGATCACCTGGTTGACCTTGTTACAATCACTACAATGTGTGGTTTGTATCTTAACTAATTGTAGATTATCTTTGCCAGGATTCTGCTGTGAACAATGGGAAGGGTTTGAAGGGTGCATCTTCCAACTCGGCCACCCTGTCTCCAGTCACAGCTGAACCTTTTACATGGACAAAGGCTGGTGTAGCATACATTGGTTTGGCGTAATGCACACTGTGTTCTTGCGTGTTGCATGATCAGTCTCTGAACTGCTTCCAATGCATTTACATTGCTCCTCATATAAGATGACCATTACTTTTCTCTTCATTTCTTCATGGATATGGGTATCACTGGCCTGGGCAGCATTTATCGTTAATGCTTAATTGCCAAGAATGCAGCTCAGAGTTAACCACATTACTGTGGGTCTGGAGTAACATGTAGGCCAGACCAGGTAAGGGAACAGATTACCTACTGCAAAGAATATTACTGAACTAAATGGGCTTTTAATGACAATGACAATGTTTACATGGTTGCCTGTGTGTGTGTGTTGGGAGAGAGAGAGGGAGAGAGAAAGTGTGTGTGCGCGTGTGTGCATCAGAGGAGAGAGAGAGAGATAAAGAACATGTGTTTGTGTGTCTGTGTGTGTGTTTGTGTGTCTGTGTGTGGTGGAGAGAGAGACAGTGTGTGTGTTTGTGGGAGAAAGTGAGTGTGTGTGTGTTTGTGGGAGAGAGTGAGTGTGTGTGCGTTTGTGGGAGAGAGTGTGTGTGTGTGTTTGTGGGAGAGAGAGTGTGTGTGTGTGTTTGTGGGAGAGTGTGTGTGCACGTGTGTGTGTTGTTTGTGGGAGACAGCGTGTGTGTGTGTGTTTGTGGGAGAGAGTGTGTGTGTGCGCGTGTGTGTTTGTGGGAGAGTGTGTGTGTGTTTGTGGGAGAGAGAGTGTGTGTGCGCGTGTGTGTGTTGTTTGTGGGAGAGAGCGTGTGTGTGTGCATGTGTGCGTGTGCGTGTGAGAGACTGTGTGTGTGTGTGTGTGTGCGCGTGAGTGTGTGTATGAGAGAGAGAGTGTGCGTGTGTGAGAGAGAGTGTGTGCGTGTGTGTGAAACAGAGTGTGTGTATGTGCGTGTATGAAAGTGTGTGTGTGCGCATGTGTGAGAGAGAGAGTGTGTGTGTGTGTGTGTGTACGTGTGAGAGAGAGAGTGTGTGTGTGCGTGTGTGTGTGAGACAGAGTGTGTGCATGTGTGAGAGAGTGTGTGTGCGTGAGAGAGTGTGTGTGTTGTGTGAGAGAGTGTGTGTGTCTGTGAGAGAGAGAGTGCGTGTGTGAGAGAGAGAGAGCATCTGTGTGTGTATGTGTGTGTGAGTGAGAGAGAGAGAGCATGTGTGTGTGAGAGAGAGAGAGAGAGCGTGTGCGTGTGTGTGTGAGAGAGAGAGAGTGTGTGTTTGTGTGTGTGTGAGAGAGAGAGAGAGCATGTGTGTGTGTGTGTGAGACAGAGAGTGTGTGTGTGTGTGTGTGTGTGTGTGTGTGTGAGAGAGAGAGAGCATGTGTGTGTGAAAGAGAGAGCGTGTAAGTGTGTGAGACAGAGAGCATGTGTGTGTGTGTGAGAGACAGCGTGTGTGTGTGTGTGTGTGAGAGAGACAGCGTGTGTGTGTGTGTGTGAGAGTTTATAGTGTGGTGGCATCACCTGTAGTACGACATGAACCCAAGATCCCGGTTGAGGCCATCCTCATGGGCACCGAACATGGCTACCAGCCTTTGCTCAGCAACTCTGCATTGTTGTGTATCCCTTGGAGGACATTTACCTGAAGACCTAAGGCTGAATGTCCTTGATCGCTGAAGTGTTCTCCCACTGGGAGGGAACATTCTTGTTTAGAACATAGAACATAGAACAGTACAGCACAGTACAGGCCCTTCGGCCTACGATGTTGCGCTGAACTTTTACCCTAATCCTAAGGTCTATCTAACCTCCACCCATACCTTATACTATCATCCATATGCCTACCTAAAAGCCACTTAAATGCCCTTAATGAGGCCAGCTCCACTACCCTCTCTGGCAATGCATTCCACACTCCGACCACTCTCTGAGTAAAGAACCTACCTCTGACGTCTCCCCTATATCTACCTCCACTCACTTTAAAACTATGCCCCCTCATAATAGCTACCTCCACCCTAGGAAAAAGTCTCTGGCTGTCTACTCTATCTATACCTCTGATCATTTTGTACAACTCTATCAAGTCACCTCTCATCCTTCATCTTTCTAAAGAGAAAAGCCCTAGCTCTCTCAACCTTTCCTCATAAGACCTTCCCTTCATTCTAGGCAACATCCTAGTAAATCTCCTCTGCACGTTTTCCAATGCTTCCACATCTTTCCTGTAATGAGGTGACCAGAACTGGACACAATACTCCAGATGTGGCTGAACCAGGCTTTTGTATAGCTGGAGCATAACTTCATGGCTCTTGAACTCAATCCCTCTATTAATGAAAGCTAACACACCATATGCCTTCTTGACAACTCTATCCACCTGGGTGGCAGCTTTCAGGGAACTGTGGACATGAACCCAGAGATCCCTCTGCTTCTCCACATTGCCAAGAATCTTTCCGTTAACCCTGGATTTTGGTGATTGTTGTGCAGTGTCCATTCATCCATTGTCGTAGCGTCTGCATAGATTCACCCATATACCATGCCTCGGGGCATCCTTGCCTGCAGCATATGAGACAGACAATGTTGGCTGAGTCACATGAGTATCTGCCGTGTACGTGGTGGGTGGTGTTCCCACATGTGATGGTAGTGTCCATGTCGAAGATCTAACATGTCTTGCAGAGGTAGACATGACAGGGTTGTATAGTGTTGTGGTTGATGTTGTCCTGAAGACTGGGTAGTTTGCTGCGAACAATGGTCTGTCTAAGGTTTGGCAGTTGTTTGAAGATAAGAAGTGGAGAC